GCCCAAATTACCATCCTGAATAAGAGGGCCAAGGTCCATACCCGTGGGTTGTTTGACCAAGGATCCCAGAGAACATACATCACTAAAAAGTTGGCAGATGAATTACAATTAAGGCCTGTAGCCCAGATGTCATTCAACATCTCAGGGTTTGTAACAGATGCAGGACCTCAAGTCTACCAGGTGGTACAACCATCAGTACGCTTAGGCAGGTACGTCTGTCGAGTACAAGCCATTGTGGTGGACAAAATACCAGTAGACCTACAAGTTCAAGGTCTGAGAGCAACAGCCAAATTCCTGAGAAATAGAGGAATAAAATTGGCAGATAATATTAAGTCTGATCACCTCACTGACTTCGGTCTCCTTGTAGGGACAGACTATTGTCATCGATTCATCGGTAGCCCTACTAAATATCAGGGTATAACCATGTTAAACTCTGCAGGAGGTAAATTACTCTCAGGCCCAGTATCAAGCCTGAGGAGACCTATGCCTGCAGATAAACAATACCAGTAGAGATCTAAATTTGTCAGCTGATTATATTTCTCCAGTAGCATTATACTAAGGAGATTACAGTTGACTATACCAACAGAGGTTGATGTTAGTATCATCATTTGAAGCTGAAGATGAGTTCATGAGGCCTCAGTGGCAAATCAGTGAACAGTAGCCTAAAACAGCTACAAGTCACTGCGACCAATGTCACTGAACCCACTGCAGTCTCAGAACCATACTTTACTTTAATGATGAGCTATTCAATCTTCTGAATCAATTAACTAAATTAAACCCCAATAAATCTGATGACTGATTTGATACATTTATTATTTAATCAAGATGTATTCCATGGGCCTCAGTGTTTATATATCAGTGACCAGTTACCTGAAGAAACTTCAAGTTATATCTAATGTCACTGATCTCACTGCAGTCCCTGAATCATACTTGACTGTAGTACTTGATCACATCCAGTCTTCTGGGTTAAATAATATGTAATAAGGCTTGAATATTAGCCTTTCAAGAGTTGACAGGGAAATGAAATCGCATTAGACTTCTAACCCCTGCAACTCTAGTACGGGACATCCGTCCTGTACGAACAGACGCACAAATGTGTGATTACTAACTACTAACATCAAATTAATCTAATAATTCGAAGGAGGAGTATCGGTGTCCGTCTGTTCTAAATAGGACTTCGACCCGTGAGCAGCCCCCTGGGGAATTATGTCGGAAAGTCCGACACCATTTAATAATAATATCATACAGACAGATAAGAGCTGTGTTGTATAAACAAGTTAACCATAGAAAACGTAACTTGTAGTGGAATTACCGTCTATAGAAAACGGGATATCATCACCACATACTATTATAATTCACCAGCTATTCTGCTGGGAATTATTCTTAAATACATTAGTCTTTGGACTTTACCATCATAAAAACATCTTATATAAATTAACTTAATTATCAATATTAAAGTAGAGTAAATGTGACCCTTCTATCACTTTCTGAAATCTGGACAAAGTAGGCCAGGCGTCAGTGGGGAAGGAGGGCAGCCATTGTTGTGTCACCTCCGAGACGTGTGGAGCAAATTCGGCTCCTATCATTCTGGACAATGTCGGCCAGTAACGTCAATACTATGGAGTGTTAAACAGCCATTGTTTATAACGAGACCAGAGGCTCACACGGGAGCAAATTCGGCTCCTGTTAATTTTACTTGGACGTAGTGTTATGGAAACCAAAGGTACCATCTCCAACACGATGTCTACAATTCAAGTTAAGTGTCTATCCGAAACCCGTTTATCATTCATTTATGGCCATTAATGTCAGGATATAGGGTGACCCGGTTAGATCACATGGAAGCCTCAAACTAAAGGTAATTAAGCCAGGTCTTCATGTTCCATGTACTGTTTTCTCTGATATACTTGTCATATATAGGTATCTGGCTTCACAGCTAGCGCACTTTTGACAGGTCAAGACGAGGATGCAAGATTTGTGCACCAGTTACTGGGTGATATGGAAGCTACCTCAAAGAGGATAATTTGGTGTCTACACCCTAGTTATACCTGGTGGACTAACCTGCTGTACTATAAGATAAGGAACCTCTTCAATGTATGTAGTTACTGTAGTTTGATTGGCTGCATATATATTAATTTAATAACCCCCCCTAATGTGTAGAGGATCGATTTGTGAGATTATGAGATTATTGCAGAAATACAGTCCACTTATCATTATACAAATTGCTATCGAAGTATATAAATTAACGTAAATATAAATTCATATAAATTAAACAAATATAAATCTCACAGGTCGGTTCCCACAGGTTTATTATCGACAGGTCTTGTCCATATTTTTTACATACATCCTGAACCCCCCGATTCTTTTATTTGATGATGGGCTGACTATGCGTATTTTTTTCACTCCATCCTCACCTTTACATAGTACATATAGTAATGATGTGGACCATCGTACATATAGTAATGATGTGGACCATCGTACATATAGTAATGATGTGGACCATCGTACATATAGTAATGATGTGGACCATCGTACATATAGTAATGATGTGGACCATCGTACATATAGTAATGATGTGGACCATCGTACATATAGTAATGATGTGGACCATCGTACATATAGTAATGATGTGGACCATAGTACATATAGTAATGATGTGGACCATCGTACATATATTGACGTAATTAACAAAGTAGAATTTGGCACTACTGAATTTGGACAAACCAGAAAAGGTTTTGTATTTATGTTGGTGATAAAAACAAAGCTAACCTAATCTAACCATCCCAGGCCTATAATATTTAGGCTTAGGAATATCTGTTAGATTTTTAGCTTTATTTTTCCCGGACTTATAGAGTGAACGGTACCAAACTCTACTATCTATAGGTATTAGCCCAATATGTCAAATATAGGTATTAGTCCATATAGTTACAAAAAGCACTATGTAACAGAGGGATGGGTTGTTTTATTCATAAGCGGGAGGTATCTGTAGCACTGTAGCACTGTATCATCCTTTGCAGATGACACTAGGATCTTCATGAGAGTAGGCAACATAGAGGACACGGCGAACCTCCAGTCAGATGTAGATCAGGTCTTTCTATGGGCTACAGAAAATAATATGGTGTTTAACGAAGATAAGTTCCAGCTCATGCGCTATGGAAAAAATGAAAATATAAAAACGGAAACCACGTACAAAACTCAGGCAAATCATAACATAGAACGAAAAGGCAATGTAAAGGATCTGGGTGTACTCATGTCAGAAGACCTTACCTTTAAAGAACACAATAAAGTAGCCGTCACAACTACAAGAAAAATGACAGGTTGGATAACAAGAACTTTTCACACTAGAGATGCTATACCGATGATGATACTTTTCAAAACGCTTGTGCTCTCTAGAGTGGAGTACTGCTGCACAATGACAGCACCTTTCAAAGCTGGAGAAATTGCTGACCTGGAGAGCGTGCAGAGATCCTTTACTGCTAGAATCCACTCAGTAAAACATCTAAACTATTGGGACCGACTAAAGAGCCTAAATCTGTACTCCCTTGAGCGCAGGCGGGAGAGGTACATAATAATTTACGCGTGGAAAATATTAGAGGGGCTGGTCCCAAACCTGCACACAAAAATAACATCATATGAGACCAGAAGACATGGCAGGATGTGCAGAATACCCCCGTTGAAAAACAGAGGTGCAACAGGTACTCTGAGAGAGAACTCTATCAACATCAGAGGTCCGAGACTGTTCAACACGCTTCCACTACACATAAGGGACATAACTGGCCGACCCCTCACAGTGTTCAAGAGAGAACTGGATAAGCACCTCCAAAGGATACCTGATCAACCAGGCTGTGACTCATACGTCAGGCTGCGAGCAGCCGCGTCCAACAGCCTGGTTGATCAGTCCGGCAACCAGGAGGCCTGGTCGACGACCGGGCCGCGGGGACGCTAAGCCCCGGAAGCACCTCAAGGTAACCTCAAGGTAAGATAGGTAAGGAGGTGGGGGAGGGGGAGGCTGCTGAATTAACGAACATTTGGTCAACGTTCCGAAGATGAGCTCCCTTTCTGGGTAGCTTGTTTACCACTTTCATTGTCCTTGATCTTCGTGACCATTTTTACTCCTCTCTTGTAGCTCGTTAATTAGTCAATGGCCAGATATTTATTATTATACGTGGTGTGCACACGGCTAGCAAGTAACGCGGCTGGGTGTTGGTAACAAGAGACCGGATACAAAGATCCAAATGGGAGACGGAACTGTTGAAGGCTCCAGCAGAGAAAGAAATGGAAATTGCTGTAACATTGAACCTACCTCCGGAGGCCCATAGCAAACGGATATAATCAGCGGCGGATACAAAATAGTCCAATATAGGAGCTGCCTTTAAAAATCTGAATACTTGAACTTGCCGTTTCATTTCATTTGCATAAGCCGTCACTCTTATGAGCGAGAAGTGACGTAGGTAAATGTTTCTGACCCGTACCATCACTACAAAAGTCATAATGCTATTGGTAACAATAAAAGCTTTGTTACACTGGCAATAATCACTACACGAGTCAGTTCACAAGCCAGGCGCTTCCCAGGACGCTAACTGGTGACTATGGTTATTTTGAGATGATTTCGGGGCTTTAGTGTCCCCGCGGCCCGGTCCTCGACGAGGCCTCCACCCCCAGGAAGCAGCCCGTGACAGCTGACTAACACCCAGGTACCTATTTTACTGCTAGGTAACAGGGGCATAGAGTGAAAGAAACTCTGCCTATTGTTTCTCGCCGGCGCCCGGGATCGACCCCGGGACCACAGGATCACAAGTCCAGCGTGCTGTCCTGTTCGGCCGACCGTGTACAGACTGTGATGGTGGAGAATTCCCAGGACGCTAAATGGTGACCATGGTGTAAAAACTAGTATACAAGACAGTTCCCAGGTGATAACTGGTGTACACAATTGGCTGTTTGATCAAGTCAGTCTTAAAGAAATTAACGCGAAAGACATTGAAATTGCTTCAGGAACAACTTACCGGCGTAGTTGGGCGCGATGTCCATGGGCGTGAGCTGGAAGGAGGTGATGGTGGCGGGTAGCCCCAGGCCGATGAACTGCATCAGCCCAGCCACCAGCGCCGCTCTACACCCGGCCAACACAATCCCCACTAGGCTGCTGCATACCCACACCATCGCTGCCAACAGTGAAACACGGAGTACTGTAAGTAACTAAATTTATGCTAAGTATAACAGACTGAGAACTATGTCTTGTATATAATTTCCATTAAGTCAAAATTTTGAATGTTCCGACAGTTGTCACTCACTGGCCTCCGGGAGGTGGCTCAACTCTGCCACATCGTTACATTCTCCCTGTTTTTGGCTTTATAGGAGTAAAACATTAAGAAAATAGGAAGTTCCACTTATTTTATCTTGCTTCTTATTTAATGGATTAAGCAATCGGGTAATGAGAGTAATTTATAAAAATAATTAAAATTAAGTCAATAAAAAAACATGCGCGAAGGGAATGAAAATAAGGTTATTAATTTCCCTTATGGAGTAAATTGCAAGTTAAATATTGCGAAAGGTGTGAATAGATGATTTTTGCAATGAATAATCTACATTATCCAAGTGTAAGAATTATAATCCCTCAGCTAGACTGTACCCCGTGGCTGCAGTGTTGTCCAATGTTATGCAATCCTGTGCATTAAGCGTTGGTATGTCGCCCTATCCAAAGACACAGGTACCTCATGTAGGGTGTCTACGGATCAGTGATGGCATAGGCAATTCAGATATTGTATGGGTGGCGATATACGACATCTGGTTATACTGGCAGACGGCAGTTTATACGTCTCGCCTGTATAATCATTGGTGGCTCTCACAGTCATATGTTTAGCTGTAGAATGTAGGAGGAAGCAAGAAAAAGTCACAGCTACCTTGCAACAACGGCTCTGATAACCCTTCTTTCCACTCCCAGCGACGTCAAAGCCCATAGTTCACTCAATCAGATGTGTGTGTATGAGTGAAACAGCATTCTGATTGGTACTCTAGTTCTCTAGTTCTGTCACTCCCTACACCACAGCAGACTCTAGAGTTACTCCTGAAATTGTAATCTCCCATATGTCTGTCGAGAAGAAGCAGTAAATAATGTGGGCTCCATTCATCAATTCGCCGATAGGAAACACGTGTGTGGGTGTGAGCCGGCTCGACAAGAGTAAGTAAACTGTAATTATTTGCGTACGCATTATTAACTCACATTTCATGGTGCTAAGTGCAGCTCAGTGAGCTTGGTCAATGTTCTTAACTCTGGTGCAGCAATTCAGAACAAGCCATCCCACGGAATGCTCACATTTCAATTTCATTTGCATGTAATAATTTCCCGAGCATCAATTTGAGCTCCATATTGCCCCTTGCAGTGATGTCTAAGAAGCAGTTATTGCTTGAGGTGTTCATATTGACAATGTTATCCTCTGCGCGTCTACCCCTCTCAAAATAAGCTCCTGTTACTATAAAATGTACAGGAGCAGAAGAGTTCCGGCTTTTGATTACATGAGCTCTACAACATCTCATTATAAAGCCCCACCCTTCTTGTTTACTCCTAAGCGATCTGCCATTGGTTCTGCATTCTGAGCCCCAATCCCTATCCGGTGTACAGGGGAGGACAGCGAATGGACGATGTCTAACAGTCACCTAGCCTAGGATTGGAACCTAGATCTTCTCGCTGGCGAAGAGAGCGGGCAAGTGTGCTAACCATTAAACCACTTGCATTTTGTGCCTAGTACTTTGGAACAACATCGACGAAACCTCAACGATATTTGTTGTGTGGAGGGAAACTTACCTGTGATGTGCATGAGTCTGCGTGTATTGAGCTTGGAGAGGAGGTGGTGGCGGAGGATGAGGTCAGACAACCAGCCGTACACTATGTAGAACACCCAGCCGATGGCGGCCATGGCCATCAACGCCCAGCCCGACTCCTTCATGCTCAGCCCGACCTGTCCACCCAACACACGGCAACGACCTTGATCATCTATTGAATTCTGTTGCTCCGAAGTCACTGATTAAAATTTTGTCTACAAAAATTTCATTATTAACACTTTCTTTACATACTAGGTTCCAATCTTTCTGGGAAATTTAATAATAAAATAAGACCATCTTAGTGTTTACTGAAATATGGGTTCAGTGATCTACGACTGTAATGGTTACCTTTTTCCCCTAGTTTGTGATTAATAATAATAATAGTTAGCTGTTTCGGTAAGGTAAATTGATATATATATGCTTTAGGCTTGTATCGTGGTCCCTCTGAATTACTGACCCTCCGCAGGATACAACCCCACAATAGTTGTCTAACTCCTGGGTACCTATTTACTCCTAGGTGAACAGAGCCATTCGGTAAAACAAAAACGTGCTCAATTATTTCTGTTTCGTCCGAGAATTGAACCCGGAATCCCCGATTGTGAGTCGAGAACGAAGCCAACTGCACCTCACGACCAATATGTCAGCCAGGGTTGAGAGAACAGGAGGAGTTACCTGGTTGATGAGGAAGGTCGGCCCCTGTGTGCTGGAGAAGTTGACCACCCACATGTTACCCAGCTCGACCAACATCAAGAGGTACACCACCTTACACCTGGCGATGCTCCTCCACGGTATACGCCTCTACTCACCCTCGCCGGGTTGACGAGCGGTGGAGACATGTGGTGGTGCACATTGCGAACACATGTGTACAGAAAATTCAATAAAAGAACAAAATAAAATATATGTAAAAATATAAAGTATAACAAAATAAAAATAAAATATATATATCAAAATATAAGATATCGTCGCATTAGTACTTAATGTAAAATAGCTCAAATAAAGTTACAAGAATGATGATAAATAAAGTTACCCTTCAAATATTAAATATTTGTTATAACGGAAGACTAGGAGAGCTTCTGACAGTGCCATATATAACATATAGACTAAGCATGTGTTAATCATGTTATGCTCATTAACGCCAAAAGCTCCATAATCATATACTTACTAATTGAACTATGTATTCATTATGTATTTGTTTATACAACATATATTTAATTGTTAAGGTTATTTTTCTTCCCAAGCCTCGCTATCTAGCATTTACTTTACCTTCCAAGCTTCGCCACTCACCCCGGGATGGACGTGGATGCTGATCAACATCTTCCTCTCCCTCTCAGAGATGCAGGGATGCTGGTGTGGAGTGTTTCTGACCACCAGGAACCAGAGTGGGGCCCAGGTGAGGGCCAGGAGCCCCCCGCCCCAGAACACCCACCGCCACCCCAGCCACTCCACCACCCACGCCGACACCCCCAGGGCTATCAGCGACCCCAGCGCACCCCCTGCACGCAAAATACAACATGGCAGGGCGCTTCAACCCTTAGGCTGATAACAATGGTTATAAGCGATATACAGTCATTAGATATTCATCCTAAACATGTTATTAGTGACCAAATGAGTAAAACTCTTCTTGTGAAAACCATCAAGAACATATGTACTGTATAATAATAAGAATTTGTATTTATATAAAGTACATTTGGAACATGATAGATAATTTATTTATATGTGTAATGGAATAGCACCTAATTCTAAGCGAGAAGTAAACTACCATGTGTGGATAGTTACAAAAAATATTAAATAATTTCCAATTTTTAAGTAATATTTAATGATGAAAGGTATAGACTACATTTATATAGAAATTGAAGTTACAGCAACAGTACAAATATATTATATAATGTTCACAATAATAGCAAAATGCAGCTTGATATGATGAGGAAATGTGAATACAATTGGTTACATATTGGCAATTAGATATTGCTTAGTTTCTCTTTTAAACTGGTTAAAAGAAGTACAGTTTAAATTTCATTCCACAGTTGTGGACCCTTAATTTGCAACTCATGTTGGCCTTGGTCAAGTCTCATTCTTGGGAATATCAAATATATATGGTTCTTGTGTGGTGGCCATCGGTTCTCTTACAGTTCTCTAGCAAGTGTTTCAGTCAGGATTATTATTGTAGTTCAGAGGTTTATGGATTTAGAGTATATAGTATATATAAATATATATTAGCGGATGTGTCCTTTTTGGGGGATTGGAAATGGCCACCCTAACTATATGCCTCTGTTCACCCAGCAGTGATTGGGTACCTGGTTGTTAAACGATAGGCGAGTCGTGTTCCATGGAAACTAGAGGGTAAGGCTTACCATAAGCTATAGAATGGGAAATCTGTCAGCCTGCTAACAGGAGTCAGCAGTCATCTGTTCCTGTGTATACAAAAATAAAAAGTACCTCTGACGATTTTTTGGAAATGACTCCAGTTTAGTTATAAATAATGCGTGAGTGCATGAGTCAGCATGAGTGTTATAGAGGCTTAGAGTTTTATCAAGAAATGTTTGCACACCTACATGTTTGCCATATTACTGAGTTGAGCTTCCAAGTTTATGTTACAAACATCGGCAACAAAATTGTCTATGGAAGCTTCATTGTGCATTCCTAAGCTAGTTCTCATTGTTTCTAGTGCTAATTATGCTGGTTAGAAGAAAAGAAGAGTAATGGTCTGTAGTCCGTGGTTAGTGCAGATGTTATGTTTGTACAAATGTGGTTACTGCAGTTGTTTCAGTAATTCTGGTAGGATTTAGTGATTACAGGTATTAGCATGCAAGAGTTTATGCGGTTTCAACAAGTTAGCAACTAGTGGGTTCTTATGTTGGCAGAGGTCAGTTTTAACATTTATTAGTATTAGTAAATTTTTGTTAAGATTGCTGCATAAAATAATTAATATTATAATACTAATTCATTGTGTCGGGGACAGGTATTCCTACACGTTAGGCTTTTATAGAGAGCCCCCCCCCCTCAAGGGCGAATTACTGACCCCGTCCAGGCAGCAACAACCCCACAACAAGCTGACTAACTCCTGAGTACCTACTTACTGCTAGGTGAACAAGGGTGAATGAAAAATCGTCAAACTATTTCTATCCCGCCCGGGATTCAAACCAGGAATTCTCAAATGTGCGTTGAGAACGAACTCTACAGTACTGCCGGGACCCTTAATCAGGATTATATTTCTGAAGTTAGAGTTAAATTCAGTTACAGCTGTTAGGAGTTCAGCATACAGTTTCCACTGTTAAATTTTCACCTAGCAGTATATATATGTACCTGTAAATAGGTAAGGGGTCTGCCGCTTGCCTGAATTTGTTGATTAGTTGAAACAAAAGGAATAGAACACGCCGATATTTTTCCATTTAATTGTTTACCTTAAAGCAAAATTAAGTTTAACAATTTATGAAACGAGATAACTATTGTCGATCTACTGGGAGTACACAGAACCACCTTCTAATTTCATGTTGTAGACTGAGCCTTCGTTTTTGGCTCCTTGCATAGTAGTACATTTTTTGAAGAAAACTGAATTGAACAAACATTTTCAACGTTTATCTTTTGTTTATGCTACTACAAATGCCCAAAACACAAAAATACCGTTGGTTAAAATGATCAGATTTGAGGCTAGAGATAAAATTAGGGCTTTAAATAACCTTGCTGGCTAGGCAACACCCACCTGAGTAAGCGACAGACACCATAGTAGCCAGCTCCTCTGGTGGGGACCAGCTGGCCAGGACGCTGTAGAGGGCGGGGAAGGCGGGGCCCTGGGCCACACCCATCAGGAGCCTCACCGCCGCTAGTGCCAGAGGGTGAAGGTGGGCAGCAGCAGGACACAGCAGGGAGAGTACCCCACACACCCCCAGGCTCCAGCCCATCGTCTCCCGGGCGCCCACCACCTCCGCTATGCGCCCACCTCCAACCAACATATGTTGTATATTTGAATATTTTTTTGTATATATTTAGAAGATATGTGAATGGGTTATGTTAATACATATTTTGGTGATTAATTAGTATGCTCTCGCAATCCCACTAACACGGTGTACAACAGTCTATGTACAACAGTGTCCCTGTGTACAACAGTGTCTCTGTTATACACAGTCACCTGTGCATTCTTGTACACAGTGTCCCTGTGTACAACAATATACCTGTGTAACGGTGTCCCTGTGTTCAACAATGTACCTGTGTACAGGTGTCCCTGTGTTCAACAATGTACCTGTGTACAGGTGTCCCTGTGTTCAACAATGTACCTGTGTACAGGTGTCCCTGTGTTCAACAATGTACCTGTGTACAGGTGTCCCTGTGTTCAACAATGTACCTGTGTACAGGTGTCCCTGTGTCTCAACAATGTCAGTGTGCAAAAGTGTCCTCGTGTACAAGTGCCCCTATATATAACAGCGCCCTTATATACAAGTGTTCCTGTGTACAAGTGTCCCTGTGTACAACAGTGTCCCTTGAGGTTACCTTGAGGTTACCTTGAGGTTACCTTGAGGTGCTTCCGGGGCTTAGCGTCCCCGCGGCCCGGTCGTCGACCAGGCCTCCTGGTTGCCGGACTGATCAACCAGGCTGTTGGACGCGGCTGCTCGCAGCCTGACGTACGAGTCACAGCCTGGTTGATCAGGTATCCTTTGGAGGTGCTTATCCAGTTCTCTCTTGAACACTGTGAGGAGTCGGCCAGTTATGCCCCTTATGTGTAGTGGAAGCGTGTTGAAGAGTCTCGGACCTCTGATGTTGATAGAGTTCTCTCTCAGAGTACCAGTTGCACCTGGTGTACAATAATGTCCCTGTGTTCATCAATGTTGCTGTGTACAAGTTTCCCTGTGTACAAGTGTCCCTGTGTTCAACTGTGCCCCTGTGTACACTTTTGTCAAATAAAAAAATTTAATATAAAAGTTTTATCCTTTTTTTAAGCTCAAAAGTTCGGCTGTAACAACTACAAGACGTTTGCTAACTGCATTATTATTATTTTAGTTTCATTCACCCGAAATTCACATATTCCATCAAACATCGGAGACCGACGCATAATAAAGTGAATTATTTATCTAATTATATAAAAATATCTTCATAAACTTACCCAAAACAGCCAACAAAAGGTTAACAAGGACAGAATCACCATCAGTCTTAAGCAATTCAAAGTTACATGTTACTATGCAGTTAGAATATTATTAAGGAAGCAACACCGTGTACGTACCGAGGGTCTTAGTGATGAAGTATCCCCAGAAGAAGGTGGCCAGCACGACGCCTTGCTGCTGAAGGCTCCAGTCGTACTCCCCCGGCTCCTGTAGGACGGATCCTCAGAGGTATAAGACGCTCTCACGGATACACTCGTAACTCCTACTTGAGAGAGAGAGCTGAATTAAGAGGAAGGGTGGGAAAGAAGACCAGTAAGAAAAGGACGAGTTGTCAGGCACCGTGGGAGTCATTCAGGTGGTATTTAGTTTTATATAGTTAGGCTCCATCAGATAATTTGTAATTAAAAATATGTATATCAATTGCAGCCTTGTGGAGGATTCGAACCTGCACCAAGCACACACCTTAAACCACGAGGGAGTATCCATGGTGCAGGTTCAAATCCCCCACACGGCTTTAATTGATTTTCTCACTCTTATATATTAATAAATCCCAATTTTTTTATTTCTGAAAGTTCAAATTTTAGCTGTCTAAATATATGATCTTTGTTGTTGTGTCATGCCACGTATGTTACCATGTCTGCCAGGGCGTTGTAGGAGGTGTTGATGGCTGCCGGGCAGGCGTCTGGCATGGCGGCGCCTTTGGTGTGGGTGGTGTTGACCATGGCCACGATGGCCACACTGATGCTATTCCTCACCAGGTAGTCGATAGTACTGCCCAGCAGCCCCAGGAACACCACCACGTATCGCAGCGGCAAGTTCCAGCCCGCACACCCTGCAGCGATGGTCGGGCCTCAAGATTCGTAATTTTCATGACATTCCAACCACCCAATTTCTACTTTCGCGAAAATAACTAACCACTTAATAGGTATAGTATAAATGGGCATATTATAGTGTTCGTGGAAGTAAAGCACGAAATTGTTGAGTTAGAGTTCACACTGAAACTTTAAGACATATTTAAAAACAAAAAGTACAAAAGGGTAAATAATATAATTCTAACAGATAATGAGTAATTTAAAGAATTCTTGACTATATTCTTTGAGACAGACCAAGATCAAATAGAACATGAACATATGACTTAAATTTATGTACATATATGTGATTAGTGAAGAAACGTCGAGGCTCAATAAAAAATATATTACCTCTCCTCAGGGAGGAAATACGCTCACGGGAATGGATCGAGAACGACTACATAATTAGTCTACTACTATATCTACTCTATATCTATGGATAGGTTAGGTTATTGTTATTCTAGGTTAAGGTTTGATTAGTTAGGTTAGGTTTTATTACGTTTGGTCAAGTTAATAGAGTGTATTATTGATGATAATGTGAAATATAGAATTCAAAAGCTATTTTACTGTACCAAAAAATTCCACTTACAGGAAACCAAATTCTTCAATGGAAACGTTTTCAGCATAAACTTGTTATATTTTAAACCAACGATTTATAATACAATAAAGGTATAACAAGGCTAGTCTCTGTTTAAGACAAGGATCACTTTCCAGTTTACACATATCTGTTTTTTTTTTTTGAGGGAGGTGTGATTTCTCATGGTAATGGATTTGGTCTGAGGACCGGCTTATAAATATATGATTGAAGAGGAGTGATACACGTCTGTGGAATATAATCAGAACAAAATTGCATATATTGTGTATGGCCAAATGGACGCTTCTCGTCCAAAACTCGTTTACCTGAAATAAATTCCAGCATCTCCGAAACCATCTATACAAAATGAGGCTATCGTTGGTTAAGGCAGATAGTTCATAGTACACAGCTATGCCCTAAACACCATATGAACGTTAAAAGTACACGACAATCAATACTCTCCCAGCAAGCATAAAATATAAATAAATAAATAAATAAATATGTTTATTCAGGTAAGGTACATACATACAAGTGATGTTACATTAATGGATTGATATATAGATAGAGCTAGTATATACAATGCCTAAAGCCACTATTACGCAATGCGTTTCGGGCAAGAAAAACATTAATATCTAGAACTTAATACTAATTGAGCATAAAGAATAAAAAGTGTTGAGAACAAATACAAATAAAGATAAAAAAAGGGGGAACATGACTGAAAAAGCAGCACAAATACAATAGGTTGACAAACAGTGTTGATTAAAAAAAAAAAAAAAAATAACAGACATGGGTTGACAATAGAGGAGTGAGGTAGGTTACAGGGAATTTATTAGGTAGTGTTTAGTTTTTATCTTAAACTGGTTGAGAGAGGTACAGTCTTTAACATGGTTGGGAAGGTCATTCCACATTCTGGGCCCCTTGATTTGTAGAGCATTTCTAGTTTGATTAAGTCGTACTCTAGGAATATCAAAACTGTATTTATTTCTGGTGTGGTGCTCATGGGTTCTGTTACAACCTTCAATGAAGCTTTTGAGGTCAGGATTAGCATTACAGTTCAGCGTTTTATATATGTATAATACACATGAGAGAATGTGCAGTGACTTAATATCTAACATATTCAGAGATTTGAGTAATGGTACCGAGTGATGTCTGGGGGCCAGAGTTGGATATTGTCCTAATAGCAGCTTTGTGTTGGGTAATAAGAGGACGTAAATGATTTTGGGTAGTAGAACCCCAAGCACAAATACCATAGTTGAGGTATGGATAGATGAGGGAGTAATAGAGAGTAACCAGGGCAGGGCGGGGTACATAATATCTGATCTTAGAAAGAATGCCAACAGTTTTTGAAACTTTTTTTGATATATTTAGAATGTGACCCTGGAAATTCAGCTTGTGGTCGATGAGAACGCCAAGGAATTTGCCATCTAATTTGTTACAAATTTGGGTATTGTTTATTTTGAGATTTATCTGATTAGAGGATTTATTGCCAAACAGAATATAAAACGTTTTGTCAATGTTAAGGGTGAGTTTGTTGGCAGTTAGCCAAAGATGGACTTTCTCTCGCTCAGTATTTACTGTGGCATTTAGAGCAAGGGGGTCAGGACTGGAGTAAATGAAGGTTGTGTCGTCAGCAAATAGAATTGGTTTGAGGTGTTGGGAGGCATTTGGAAGGTCATTAATGTAGATGAGAAAGAGGAGAGGGCCAAGTATGCTGCCCTGAGGAACACCAATGTTGATGGGTAGGGTGGGAGAAATAGTATTATTCACAGAAACATACTGGAGCCTGTCAGTAAGATAAGATTTGAGGTATTGCAGGGAGTGTCCTCTGACTCCATAATGATGTAATTTAAGAAGGTTTTGATGGTTGACAGTGTCAGGAGCCTTACGCAGGTCCACAAATAACCCAACAGGAAACTCCTTTTTATCAAGAGCTGCGTGAATTAAGTTAATCATACTAATAAGTGCATCGTTAGTGCTTTTTTTGGGTCTGAAGCCATATTGACAAGAGCTAAGTATATTGTGTTTGGCTAGAAAAGAGTAAAGCTGCTTGTAGATTAGTTTTTCGAATATTTTTGACAAGTTAGGCAGGATTGATATAGGTCTGTAGTTGTTAACATCTGTGAGATCACCACATTTGTGGACAGGGGTTACTCTTGCTTTTTTTAGAATGTCAGGAAAGGTTTGGAGTTCAAGTGACTTGTTGAAGAACAATGCAATAGCAGGGGCTAGAGATCTGGAGGCTTTTTTGTAAATTAAAGTTGGTATCTCCTCGAGGGCACTAGACTTGGTTTTAAGGGAAAGGATTATTTCATTGACATCAGTGGAACTAGTAGGCTTTAGGTACAGAGACTGTGGATAGTTACCTGTAAGATAGTCCTTAACATCAGTACAGGAAGATGGAATATCATTTGCAAGGGATGACCCAATGGAAGAGAAGAACCTATTGAACTCAATAGCAGAATCAGAGGCTGAAAGCTGACCAACGTTATTGGAAAGGAGTGTTGGTTTGTTATTTAAAATCTTCTTTGATCCCAATATTTGTGAAATTGTGCTCCAAGTTTTTTTAATGTTGCTCTTTATTTGGGTAAATTTATCTTCATAGTATTTAATTTTGGCTCGTCTAATTATTTTAGATAGCAATAACGAGTAATTCTTTGAGAATTCTTTGGAGACTGTTCCTAGCCTATACTTCTTCTCAAGGTCGTGTTTTTTGTTAATGGATTTAAGTATTCCCTTTGTAAGCCAAGGATTGTTAAGTCTTTTGCTTGTGACTTGTTTTGTAAGCATAGGACAGTGGGTGTTATAAAGGCTAAGAGTTGTTTGTAGAAAAGATTGCACTGCTAGGTTGATGTCCCCTATGTTACCTAACTCGGACTCCCAGTTGACATTATCAGCAGCAGTTATAAAATTGTTTATAGCAGTTGCATTGTGCAGCCTAAAGCTTAACTCCCTTGTCTCTAGAGGTGGTTTGCTAATGTTAGTTAAGAGAAATGTAGGGTAATGGTCTGTAGTGCTATCGGTGATTATACCTGAAGTAAGCGGAGATGTTATGTTGGTCCAGATGTGATCTAGAGTCGTAGCAGTACTATCAGTGATTCTAGTTGGTCTAGTGATTAAGGGTATGAGGAAGCAGGAATTCATACAGTTGAGGAAGCTAACAGCAGTAGGGTGTTCAGGCTCGCAGAGGTCAATATTAAAGTCCCCTGCGATAATTAGATGGTTTTTGTTCAATCGTTTTTTGTTCAATTTGTTTTTGTTCAATTTTTTAGTTCAATTTGTTTTTGTTCAATTGTTTTTGTTCAATAAGAAACATTACCGAAATATGAGTGGACGTGTTATACAAAAATTAGACAAATTTCAGCAGGAAGTGCTGGGCAACTGGGTTGTATATATATTAGTGGGATTGCGGGCAGGGGATGAGAATGGCGATGAGACAATCGACTTGAGAATGGTCCAGGACGGACCGAAACGTTGTCGTCCCTTCACCTTCTAGTGTGTGGTCTGGTCAACATTGCGGGCAGCTTCAAGCAACAGGCTTCTAGATCAGGTTATTATCAGACAAGCCTGGACCCAGACCGAACTTGGAAAGTAGGACTGTCAGAACCCACTCCAGATATTCTCCAGACATACGTACACCAGCTGCAGTTGACGAGACATCAACAGAACCAAAACAGTCAAATCTAGGAAACAAACCTTATTTCCCAGCTCTACGCAATACATGTTATAAGCGACAAATAACAGCGATCACCATCAGCTGGGAAGTTACTGAAAGTGTCATTGCCGCAAATCCACAACATCACGGGACAATCATCTCAGTACTGCGCATAGAATGTAAAAAACACGTCACCACTATACACCGTCAGTTTCACGAGAACTGTAAACATCACTTCATCATTGCCACACCTGTAGCACTGGAGACTGGTATAGATATTTTTTTCATAAGGTAAATGGTGGAATTTTAAGTTATCAAGAGACATTTTAAATTAACAGATAATAGAAGTAAAGATTTATAGCCATTTATAAAAGTTATTGAGGCCTGTGATTTAGGACTAAATCACACTATAGTTTTTTTTGTGACATTCTCGGTTTTATTTATTTCATGAAGTATACGAAGTAGCCAATTTAAGAATAGTTATTCTTATGTTTATTTATAACCATGAGACAGTAGTGCTTATAGTGTAAGTTTTTGTGATAGCTGTTGAAACATGTCGATCATTTGTAATCTTTATTTCTGAGCAGAGATTTCATGCACAAGTATGCTAGTTACATAGTTAATACAGTTTAAGCTGCATTGTTTTCCAGTGACATTTCATATTTACGTGAACAAGGATATCCCAAATTATTTTATTTTTTTTTGTTGAATAATAAGTAAAATTGTATAACATAGTGTATATTCAAGCCTCGCGCTGTTAATTTTCAGTTGATGGCTGAATTTATCCTTAAAACAGTGCACTCACGCACAGTAATTATAAGTCGTCATCATTCTTATTAAAATAATAAAAGTAGATGTGATAATTCTACAATACATACTACATATGAAACATAATTACCGTTTCTGGATAATGACCTCTAAGAGGAGTGATTGGTGTAATTAACTGTCAGTAACGCTCCATAGCAGACCACAGTCATTTAGAGTGAGTTATTATTGACCCAGCCGCACCCTTGTCTCTTCCCCCCTCATCCTTTCTCTCAGAAAATTTATTATGAACACTGACAATTCTCAACAACTCTATGGGAAACACTACCAGTATTTCATTTTTAACGCCATGAAAATCGCATGGGGGGCTTTATAAATGGCAATATTTCTTAAAGCGTTTCACATGGGGTCGACCTCGACTGGCCTGTGACTCCCCTGCTCCATATGCTTCATGTGTGAAAGTTGGGTGAGACTAGTCCTAAGCGTTTGGCCTCCAGCCTAACACAAACAGACTTTGTTTCTATAAATATATTTTAGTGATTGAGTTGAGAATATTTCTGCAACCTCTCAATATGGTAATAATTAATGGCCAAGGATAAAAAGCTAGGCATTTGGAACTGGGCACGCAATATATGCTGTCAGCATGTAGGTAGACATTTACTTGCACTGCGTGAGGCTACGAGAGTTCGCCGACAGTGTCCTGCAGTGAGGAGTTCACTGTTTGTCACTCCACAGTGAGTGTCTTTTTTTTTTTGCAAGGATATTCCTGCGATGGGCGAGCTACGCTTGTAGAACTCTTGCGGTGAATTCTAGGACTGTAAGTATTCACTTCAGTGTCTTAAGGGTGTGCATTTAGTGACAGTTTATTCATTTGTAAGCACCCTATGTAGTAATAGTATTTTGGAGGCTTACCTTAATTGAGGAAATGCATTCACTGTAAACAGACTTGAGTTTTCCCGTGCTTAAAGTGATCTTTGCAGTTAATTCAGTGTTGTAACTTATGGAGAAAAACCGTGTGTGGATGATAACTCCTATGACCTTTTCTTTATCAATCTGCTCCATGGCTGGGTTGTTTATATGGCAGTCATGATATGTATTATTTTGCTCTACATTTTAGGGTTTGCATTTTTCAATGATGAAAAGCATTGGCCAATCTTCTGTTTCTGGAGTCTATGTAGATCGCTTTACAAGGCCTCAATATCGTAATGAATATAATAAATACCTGATTTATGAAAGTGATCATGATGGTTGATGTCTCTGGGAGGAGTAGGGCCGGCGCAGGCACCAACAGCTTCCGTCATGTCGTCTATCTATACCTGTCACCATAAGAGCAGCACTCCCTAGCTGGCCACAAGCGCCAGTTAGGACAAGGGCAGATAAGATCTATTACCACAAACAATGCAGTAGTATTGATAGTAGTATCGATGACTCCAGCTGCAGCACCGCAGCCATGACAAATGACAATAGGTTATTTATGTGATTAGTGACTAGTCCATTTTTGGCCAAAGCCTTGCCCGAACGCTGATTACTGATTACATACCGGAAATTTCTCGTAAAGTGGACATGATTCTTTGTTTTTCATTGCTAGGATTCCACCAACAAGGGTTAAATCTACATCCTCGGTGCAAGGGTCGGACCAGTCTGTAATGTGTACGATTTTAGGTGACAATATTCAAAGAGTATGGTAGTTTTTTTTGTTTATTTAATATAGTTTAGTTACGAGGATTTTGGTTACGTGCTACTGGTGGCGTCAGGCGCGACTTAGGGCTGAGTGATGACAATGGTCGGAATCAGAGAGGTGCGCGAGGCTTCAAGAGGAGAGCTTGTATGAAGCCTAGAGCAGACAGCTCCAACGAGGCCGGGGTTGGAGAGCTCGGATGAGGGTGAGAGCGGAGAGCTCGGATGAGGGTGAGAGCGTAGAACTTGGATGAGGGTGAGAGCGGAGAGCTAGAATAAGGCCCGGATTGGCTCTCAGCTCTGTAGCGACGCTTGTAGCACCTGGTGTGAGAGCTGTGACTCTACAGACAATGCTGTGTCGTTTTTTTAGATTCAGCTACTCGGAACAGCATTTCCATATAGCACGGGCTATAGTAAGCCCGTAAGGGTCAATGCTGTGTCGTTGTTTTAAATTCAATTACTCAGAACAAAAAGTTCCAAGTAACACGGGCTATGGTGAGCCCGTAGTGGACTTACCTGGCACAGGAGTGGGGCTGTAACTAGGGGATACTTTGTCTTCATCGGCCGAAGATGCTGTGTCTTCGCTCGTGTGTATTATATCTGCATCCATCTGACCATGTGCTGCACCCAGTTTGCTTCCTTATTTGACAGGCTGATCATCATTTGGTCTGATGGGAAGCTTGCTGGTTACTTTCGGCTGTCTAGGTGATTTGTGGAAACCTTGGAGGACGGTTGCAGATGTCAGTAATGGTTACTGAATATGACTGCAGGTGCCATTAAATAAAAACCTTAATGGTGGTTAATAAACCACCATTAAACCTTAATATTGACATTGCAGACAAAGCTTCAAAACTTGCAACTAAGAAATGTAGAAATTTACATACCACAGAGTCTATCACAGATTAAGAAAGTAAGTAAGTAATTATCAAAAGAAGGCACCAAACCGGGAAGGCTATGTAGCACCATCAAATGCGCAAAATAATCAGAGGGCGCTAAATATCACCAAGGATGACAGATTAAGAAAGTAATTCGAAACAGAGCAATGCAAAAGATGTACAGTGACCACAACACAGCAGTTGCAACATCAGGGTCTGCGGGTTGGTACAAGAATTCAACCAACTACGAACCACTTAGTTTGATGAAAAGGAGCAGTAGAACAACAGAAGTACACTTACATCGCATCAGGCTTGGATACCCATGTGCATGGGAAATATAGCTTACAGGTTCCGGAAGATGAGAAGAAATGTCAGCACTGTTGAGAAATGCCCGACAGACCACTAGAACATTATCTAACACAGTACAGAGTTACGAACCCATTAAGATTTCAACTTAGATTCAACAGAGCAGAAGACGTTGTTAAACACATGGGACAAAATCTTACTAGAGGCCATACGAGTCATAAATACTCATACTCCGCCCAAGTAAAACAGAAACAAGCAACACTTAATGGGCCAGCCAGAGGCTTAGGGCAGGCGCAAAAATATCCGTGCAATAAAAAAACAAAAATAGGACAAAAGCTATATTCGACCCAGAACTCTACTGAGACCAATAGAAAAAGGCCCCAACTTATTTATTTATACAAGAAGGTACATTGGGTTTATGAGAGTACATAGCATTGATATTTTTACATTCTTATATAGCCATTAACACGCATAGCGTCTCGGGCAGGTCAACAAAAACCAATACTACAACCAAGTTTAACGAATAGCCAGCTGACACTGGCCTAGCTGTAGGTAATGGTGTACTCTACCATACTGTTACGGCCCTACTGGGTCGCAACCGGGTTCTTTTCTGGTGTTATTAGAATTCGGGAATCCGGCCCCACGTTAGTAGTGGCTTTCAAGGGGTGTGTTCCGTAATGCAAGTTAAACTAAAGGGGAAGGGATACAAATGCTCTGATTTATATATATAATCACCACCACCATATAAATAAATATATAACAATCACACGGGGGTTATAAACACTAATGTATAGAATTGTCTTCCTCTGAAGACACAGGATGCTCCACAGTGCTCACGATGAGTAGCCCTGGTTCCCTTGTTCGGCCCACAATGAATCCTTTGATTCTCTCTGCGAATCTACCCTGGCCACAGGCCAGCCAAATCACAGTCCCACTGGGTGCTCCGTCGTGGAGGCCTTCAACCACAATCCAGCCCGTAGCTGGCAGGTTCCGATCAGCTCCGCTGTGTAGGCCACTCCACGACCGATACTAGGGTTGCAAGCCCTAGACAGGAGCCTCGTGTGATCCCGCTGATCACTCTCCTCTCTCAGCACCACAGTGGCTAGTCTCTTCCACCAGCCAGCCCCGGATAAGGCGATTCCTGATGCTGCCACGTCACAGGCTGGCTAACACTCTCAGCAGTGTTCGTCCGGGGGTGACTCACAGCTTCTTCAGCAAACTCGTGAAGAGACCTTGGCTGCCTTGGGTAGACTGATCCATCGTCCTTTACAGCAGTCCTAGGTCGACTCTGTAATCAGACACGTCATTAGTACTGGGGCTAGGGAACCTCACTTACAGGCTTAGGCACAAACGTCCACCTATCCACTCCATAGATGGCATTGCTGTCTAAGCGCCACCTCACCAGAGGTCAGCAGCGGCTGTTACGAGCTGATTAAGACGGGAATCCAGCACCTGTGGCCGGTATATCCCGTCCTCACTAGATGGCGTCGTCCATTTGGAGGGGGTTTCGGGAGCGGACTCATAGATGGCGTTGTCGTCACTGCTCCGTGCTACGACGCTAGACTTGGGTCCGTAACACATACGCCCCTCCTTCAGAACACAAAAAATCACACTGGCATGATATATCTGTAGCAAGTAGATTATCCCAACAATATACTCACTCCAAACGCATTGGCCTAATGAGAGAAGCAAAGCTCTTCTTAGTACTAATTATGGAACTAAAACCTTTCCCAACTTCCACATAATATTCCTGTCAACCTTTGGAGAACGGTCAGGTGTTGCCCGAGCATATAAGCAGCAGAGTAGTGAATAATAACCCACGGGAGACATCTCCTGTCAAGCAGGGTGCAGTCGGACCTCCACAGATCTCCAGTATCAGTTCTTGATACTAGTAATGGCTCAAAAGGGCCACCACTTACGGGCTATTCATGCCCGTGCCACCCTTTTGGATGGGTTAATCTTCATCTTGGACACATTCATGGGAGACATCTCCCGTCACGCAGGGTGCAGTTGCACCTCCACAGATCTCCAGTATCATCTATTGATACTGGTGATGGCTCAAAAGGGCCACCACTTACGGGCTATTCATGCCCGTGCCACCTTTTGGGTGGCTTCATCTTCATCTTAACACATTCACACTGGAGACATCTCCCGTCACGCAGGATGCAGTCGCACCTCCACAGATCTCCAGTATCAGCTCTTGATACTGGTGATGGCTCAAAAGGGCCACCACTTACGGGCTATTCATGCCCGTGCCACCTTTTGGGTGGCTTCATCTTCATCTTAACACATTCACACTGGAGACATCTCCCGTCACGCAGGGTGCAGTTGCACCTCCACAGATCTCCAGTATCATCTATTGATACTGGTGATGGCTCAAAAGGGCCACCACTTACGGGCTATTCATGCCCGTGCCACCTTTTGGGTGGCTTCATCTTCATCTTAACACATTCACACTGGAGACATCTCCCGTCACGCAGGATGCAGTCGCACCTCCACAGATCTCCAGTATCAGCTCTTGATACTGGTGATGGCTCAAAAGGGCCATCACTTACGGGCTATTCATGCCCGTGCCACCTTTTGGATGGTTTAATCTTCATCAATCAATCAATCGAATAATAACAGCATAAAGCACAGCACCCCTCCTGTGCCAGGTAAGTCCACTACGGGCTCACCATAGCCCGTGCTACTTGGAACTTCCGCGTAGCTGAATCTATAACAACAACAACAACGAATAATAACTAGTCTACTTTCAAGTGTGGTCTAGAACAGACACTTGCGAGATACTGTACGGACTCTCAGTGAGCTCAACTCACACCATTGCTCGCCAAAGTATCACCTGCATACTTCTGTTTACTCGACCAAATATATATATATATTCTCTTAGTGTTTGTGTTTATTGTCACCATACGTTACGTAACAATAGAACCGTTACATATCAATAAGAAAATCATTTGGAGAAATACCGGGATTTGAACCAGCGATCGTGTGACTCTCAGACCATTAATTTGCAAGGCATTTCTCCCTTGGTTAAGTCGCACTCTTGAAATATCAAATATATGGTTCCCATGTAATGCCCATGGGTTCTGTTACAGCTCACTAGTAAGTGCTTGAGGCCAGGATATCGTTTACTAGAATACAATTCCATTATTTATGTATATAATTATAGTAACAGCAAGTAACAGAACACTTATTTTATTTTATTTTATTTACATATATACAAGAAGGTACATTGGGATTGTGAGGATACATAATATAGTAATTACAATCTTGTAAAGCCACTAGTACGCGCAGCGTTTCGGGCAGGTCCTTAATCTACGAAAATTTTAAGTAGGTAAATACTTGCAAAATTTATAAAATGAAAACAGTTACATAGCAAGAAAAAAAATAAAAGAAAAATAAAAGATAAGAGAAAATTTGTAGGTATATTAAAGCACATAGGTAGCTCAGATTGATTGCAATGACAGCTTGAATGGTAGTTTAACAAAAATTAGTAGGCACA